TGTAGTGAACTAAGCCTCAGGTCAAATCCTGACCTTGAGGGCCTTCCTGGGACAAGAACTGTTATTTCATTGATTTGAGTCCAGAAACACAAAATTAAGTTCATCCAGAGACTTTCTAAGTGTCCTGCACTGATCAATTGAAAGAACACTCTCTTTTTTATTATCATTACTATTTTACAAATGTCGTGATAATCAAAAGTGTGTTTAGTTCAAACCATTTTTAAATGTTGAAGTGAACTACTCATTTTAAATCAACTGTGAAACAGTATTAATGATTTTTAATCCTCATTCAAAGTAGAAATCAAGTTAGAATGTGTTACAAAGTAATTATTCATTTTCTTGATCTTCTGTCTGAAATGAGTAAGTGTAAGTTGGTCAAAGGTCAAGTTTCGGTCAACTACAAGTTTACTGGAAAGAAATGTCATGTTTAACTTTTTCAGACAGATATGAGAGAATTGACTCCACGAAGTCTCGGGTTCTTCAAAACATCTTCTGTCTGTTCTCAAACAATCTAATCTTTTTCCCTTGACTTTTAATAACCTCTTACATCACTAAGACCACACCCTGTTGGTTCGTATCGACCAATCAGGAAGCTCTCAGAGGAACCGGAAGTGACCTCTTTAAAAGGTTCAACACTTCCTAGTTCCAGGAGAGTGCGGAGAGAGAATGCAGAGTTCAGAATGCTGGAGAACCACGGCAACTAAGCTGAATGAGAGAAGTTCAGAGGAACTATGAAGAAGTCTGTTCTGGGATGATCTCACGACTCCGAACGGTTCCCTACTATCCTTACGGAGACGCTGAAAAGCGTTGAAAGAGAACTCTACACCGAGGCCGAACTATCGTCTGCAAAGGTAAAAGAGTCGATCTTCAACCGCAAAGTGTACCGTTGGTTAAGCTGGGTCCAAAGGAGCGTGTTGTTCTGGTTATAACAGACAAATTCCCTCACCCATCTCTCTCAAGATAAACTTCATTTCCATCTTTAAAACTTTTCTATCTTGCCAGCAATTAATCCAGATATTTTCAGAAATTTCTGTTGTAAAGCTGCAAGGATACCATGTTTATGGTTTCCTAGTTGTGAAGCTAATTAATTAAGCTGTTGTTGAAATCAATTTGCCAAATTAATGTAAATGTGTGATGTTAAACTTTGACTCTGTTAATAAATGACCGCATTCATTTGATGGGTCAAAGAAAATTAACGTCTCACGTCACATTTAATAATTCAATGCACAATAGAACTCAGTCCAGAAAAATGAAAGAATCCGTTTAATTTATGAATATATCACAGATATATGTTCATCTACACTCTGATAGTGGTGGACACTTCTTCGATGCGAGTATCTATTGTCTGACAAATTTCAAACTTGGTGACTTGTAGTTCTGTGCGAAGAGAGTTTATAGCCTCAAGGATGGTAGCATTAGCCATCGGATAGCTACCTTCAGGCGAGTCTGGGGCGGCTGGGCCTGGTTCTTTAGCTTTCTTGTCCTTGTTGGAGGTATGCATCTTCAAATTTGCTTTCATCCTGTCCTGGTGCAATTAGATAAAGACCAGACTGTTCTCTCTCACAACCTGTTATAAAACTGCCCAAATGTCAAGTTAGTGATAAATATATTTCTAAATTTGCAAGAGCTCTAGGGAAACGCTGCCTACTCCTCCATCGCTCACTGGCCCCCCCATGTCGGTCATTGTTAATCCGGGCCTCAAACGATGCGGTATGGTTTCGCTTTGATGAACTCGCATTATAGTTTTGGCAAAGAAATGCACTGGTTTGTGCTTCCTAGTGGCTGGTTTGAAGGAAAACCAACAACTACTGTATATGTGGTGGTGTATCAAAGCTGAGCAAGCTGATCCTTATCAGGACTGTAGAACTTTCTGGCAGTGTCCACGAACGGTTGGAAGGAATAAATCTTGGAGAAGTTGTATGCTCGACTTTGGCGTAAGTAATCAAATTCGGCTGCTTGGAGTCACCATGAGAGAATGTACTAGCGAGACTGTAAGGCAGACACAGAAATTTACGAGTACAGCCTGACCCAAAACAATGTTGATTTCTGAATCTGGACCTGGCCTTGGAAGGCAGACTATCTCAATTCCTCCTTGGATGTTATGGAAACAAAGACACTCTATCTCCCTACCCACGCCACTCTTCCCCAAGGTCGTGAACCTGTGACAGAGCTCAACCAAACTGGCTGATAAACAAACACCTCTTATCAGGACTATGGCGAAGGGCTCTGGACTGTTCTGTGCTACAACCTTCCCTCAAACTCAGTGCCTCCACTGGCCTCCCTCCCTCTGGCGCAGCAACCTAGGAGATGCGAAGGCGCCAAAGGGCTGCGTTGCTCACCTGACGGCCGTGCTGGGACCCTCACCCCCTACCCGCTCCACACGCATATGTATTATTATTTATGTTGCTTTGCTGTGGTATTTTTTTGATGCCTCAAACTGTGCCCTGTCAAGGACACAGTGTGAGAGATCTGTTTTTTTATGCCTCTCTCCTTATATTTTCTTCCCCTTTTCTTCTTAATCAATAAGAGAAGCGCTTCTTAGAAATTGAAGCCCCTGTACACTTCTATCCATCTTTCAGACGGCTGTATGGAATGTAATTTTGTTGTACTTAGCTGTGCAATGACAATAAAGCTGATTATGATTCTATGAAACACCATCTGGTGGTTCATTTATGTACTAAAACAAGAGCTGCACACTCCACCAGTAGCTTTTGTACGGTTTCTGATATTAAATTATGGACACCCGCAGCTTATACATTGGCGCGTCTTCTTTATGTATAAAATTGTGTTTTATTTTAAATTTAGTAAGCGCGGCTTACAGTCGTGCGTTCTGTAGACTGGCAATTATGGTAATATGAGCTGTGGATGAGCTGGCACTGTTTCAATGGGGGTTTGGGTGGGTAACATAAGAGAAGCATCAGAGAGGTGTGGAAGACTACAACTCTGCTTCCTGAACTGGACTCTGGGTTGTCAATAATTTGGAGGACTAACAAAATCTGCCAAATTTCTAGATGGAAGAGCGGCTCCACTTAAAAGTGGGATGGATGCCATCTCTCTGCATCAGACCAGGTTTTCCCCCAAAAAGCACTCCTGTTATCTATGTAGCACACATTGTTTTCAGGACACCAACTGGACACCCAGTATCTCTCAACCAATGACTGCTGGAGATGGGCAACAGCTTCCCCCAACCCTGAACAAGTGGGTAAAAAAAATGTCTTTATATGTGAATGCACTGAATCAGCTGCTTTAGGGGTTTTACAAAGTGAAAAACTTAATGGAGAACCTGAATCTTTATCTTGATCAAGTTTTGAAGCATCAGAAACTAATTAAAACAGATCTTTAGTTTTAATATTCAGAGTAAACTGGTGTAGAACCAATACTGCTCAATGGAGTTTTGATAGACACATCTGGATCACTAACAACTGTGAGACCTTCATATAAATCATCTTCAAAGCTAAGACTTACATGGTACACTGCTCAGCAGATCATATTTGCAGGGTTGGTGGGCCTGAGGTTCCGTCTGGTTTGGGATGACCCCCATGTTGCTGGCCTCCATTGATTCGGGCACCTGCTGAGCAGAGGCAGCTATGGAGTGCAGCGAGTTTAAGTCCTGGAATCTGTCTGAGAGTCCTACGGGTGGACCAAAGCTGCCCTGTTCTACCATTTGACCTTGAGCATGCAAGTCAGAGGTTACTGGGAGGTCAGGAGTCATTGGGAGGAGAGGCATCGGGATCACATGTGGAGGTGCAAGTGTTCCATTGGAGGATAGACAGAAGGGGTTGAAGGTTGATGGCTCACTGATCCGGAGGTCTGCTGGTATGTAAAACATCACCATTGTCATCAGCAGTGTTACCATGGAAACATTAATCAATAGCTTTCACTTACTGATAGTGAGGTCCATCAAATTTGGCATCTGTAAGGATTCACATTAGCTTAGTTAGTCAGGAGACAAAATATTACATTGTGGATTGTTTTCAACACATTTTCTTCCTCACCTCCTCATCACCATCCTCAGCCCCATCTGAAAAAGAGAAATGAAACTTTGACATTTAATGCACTAAAGGTCAGCGGTCAGGAAACTCGCATACAGTGGTGAGCATGGTTCTGCTAATCCACTAATCAACCAACTTTCCATTTAGTAGATCAGTATTTTTGCTAACTTTGAAAACCTTTATTCATTCATTCAACTTTTATTTAAACAGATAAGTCACAATGAGCCTCGAAGACTCATTTACAAGTGAGAGCTGTTTGGACAGACAATAAAAAGTGGTGAAAAATGACACATACTGTTTGGAGACAAAAAAATCCTAACACGCTCTTAACCTTTGGTTGAAGGTCAGCAGCATGATAATGAAAAAAAATCTTGCACACTAGCACATAATGACACCGACATTACGCGTTGGGGTGGGGGGTGGCGCCAGGATGGCGAGCAATCAGAGACAACACACAGAGGCACTGCAGAGTCTAACTCAGTTCAAATAGTACCCTCTGGAGAGATCCGTAAACACTCTGAGGGTGCTGAGGATGGCCAAGGACAAATCCAAAGAATCCTGAAATGATGACAGAATGTTTATTCAGGTGAGCCCCTCTGAAAAGTCCATGAAAATTCCTCAGTGGGGGGAGGGAGGGGCAGAGCTTCAGATTTCCAAAACTTCCAGGTGAGTTGAGATAAGCTGGCCCGTCAAGGCCAGTCTGGGAACCGAATTCAGATAAACACGATTGTTTTGGGGACAGGCAGAACTTAATGACATCTATCTTGAGTCTGTGTCGGTACATTCGGTTCAGAAACGTCCAAATTAAATGGCCACACCAATGGACCGTGCCGGAGAGTAATCCCCGAGATCTGATATATCCTGCCAAAAGCAATTGAGTCTGAGTGTTCGAGTCACGAACCAAGCCATCATAAAGCAAGCAGCCTGATTGGGTCAAAATTTGTTGCAAACGACTTCCTTGATTGAAGATAAACCAGGAAACAGCCAAATCCAAAAAGCAGGAACCAGTTATCATAAACCCAATTATATATGTCCTTAAAATCCATCAATGACAGCAGAGATAGACACATCATCAAGTCTTCCAAGTCGATAAGATATCCAGCTGCGTGCATGCCAAAAGGGCAAATCGGCTCACCTAAAGCCAGTCTTCTCTTCAAAGAAATGTTATCAATTGCATTGAGGGACCAAATCCAAATCCATAAATTACGATTCGGAAGATCTGTAGAAGAGAGGCTCCAAAGTAGTTTCACAGACAGGACAGAGCAAAAGCAAAGCGGAGAGGGAGAGGAGGAGAAGATGTCTGCCCTTGACAAGAGCAAGATAGAAATTAGCTTCTGCTAAAATGAAATCCAGTCAATTTAAATCTGTAATGTTTTTTAAAGACTATTCTCCGCACTAAAAGCGTACAGAAGAATGGTGTTCTACATGGGATGAAGTAATGTTGTGCTATGCAGAGCTAAGCAAAGCAAAGCCACCTGGTGACATCACCCTCGCAGAGCTGTTTACTCCCTTATATCGACCAGTAACAGTCTCTGACACTTAGTGTCAGTTTACAGCCATTAACAGAGACTTTAACATAAATTAAGTCAAATCAGAACAGGAAAATAATCTGAAAAATGTCATACTTGATAATCCAGGTGATAAATCTAACCAGGTTGAGTCAGGTCCTCTAGATGGATTCTTCTTCTGTACAGTGACCTGAGAACTGTATAGTGCCCTGAGATAACTTCTGTAGTCAGTTGGTGTTATATAAATAAATTGAAGTGAACTGAAATTCTTGAGTGATACTATCAATAACAGCATTGTAAGAGGGGGACAGTTGAACGTGAAGGCCTCTGTCCCAGTTTAATGATGGACAGTTTCTCTTCACCTGCTCATTGAATTGCCTCCTTATTGTGGTGGAGGAGTTTGTGTGCCTGAATGATCTTAGGTGCTATACTCTCAGGGGCTATTGTAATTGCCCCTGGTAGGATCTCTCAAGGCAGATTGGTCCTAGGTGACAGGCCAGACAAAGAGTGATTCAGAAGACTCTTATGGACAGTAAAAAAAAGAAGCTCAGTGTCCCTTGCCCAGATGTGGGTTACCAGGGCCCCACCCTGGAGTCAGGCCTGGGGGAGGAGCTCGTCAGCAAGCACCTGGTGACCGGGGCCCGGTCGAGCTCAGCCCAAACGAATGACATGGGTTTGCCTTCCTGTGGGCCCACCACCTGCAGAAGAGGCCATATGAGTCGGGTGCATGACGCCATGGGCAGTGGCCAATAAGCAAACTGACAAAGAGAGTGGAATATTACATCTCAGACACAAATATGTCTAATAAAGTGGAAAAATCCATTCATGTCACTTTGTCATATACGTCACATGAATTATGCGTCACCGCTGACGCGTCGCATTTGTTACACTTCACCTCTGACAACCTGGAAATTCAATTCAGTTTATTTATATAGTGCCAAATCACAACAAAGTTGTCTCAGGGCACTTTACAGAAACATTCACATACATAAAAGCCAATTAGTAAAGTTCTCTATCTAAGGAATCAAGCAGACAAGTTGAATCTTGGCTTCGTTGCAGTCTCCCATCCTGAGCAAGCACAGTGGCAACAGTGGAAAGGAAAAACTCCCTTTTAAAAGGAAGAAACCTCCAGCAGAACCAGGCTCAGGACAAGCGGCCATCTGCTTTGACCGGCTGGTTTGAGAGGACAGGAAGGAGAGACAGATGAACACATAATGGTAGGTACAGGTATAGGTCCAGGTGTACCTGAAAGACAAAAAAAAAAAAAAAAAAAAAAACACATGTTAAGGATAAAAAAAATATTTACAAATACAAAACAGGTTGAGCAGAGAAAGTAAAGACAGGAGCAGAGTGAAAAGTGTGGTCACTTTGTCCTCCAGCAGTCTAAGCCTATAGTAGCATAACTAAGGGACAGCTCAGGAAACCCAAGCTGACAATAACTATAGGATTTAGCAAAGAGGAAAGTCTTAAGCCTAGTTTTAAAACTGGATAATGTGTCAGACTCATGGACAGAGATTGGAAGTTGGTTCCACAAGAGAGGAGCCTGATAACGGAAGGATCTGCCTCCCATTCTGTTTTTGTAAATTCTAGGAACCACAAGTAAACCTGCAGTCTGAGAGCGAAGCGCTCTGTTAGGAAAATATGGAACAATAAGATCTGTAATATAAGATGGAGCCAGGTTGTTGAGAGCTTTGTAGGTTAGAAGTAAGATTTTGAATTCAAAAAGCGTTCAATGCAAAAACAACTGGACTTTATTTGTAACAGAAGACGTTTCGCTCCTCA